GGCAACCCCTCTATAAGATTACTAGTAGCGGCATTAAACCAACTATATAAAGTCAGGTAAAAGAATTCTCTAAGTTGCTCGGTGAATGGAGAGAGTCTTTTCTGCAACGAACATTATAAATGATAGATTGCGTAATCGGATGGATGATCAGTGGATGAATGATACATTGTGCCCACACTGAGTTACTTTCTTGGCTTCGCCCCTCCCTCTTTGCACCAATTTTGCAACTTACAGTGATTTCTAGGAAGATAAATCAACTTGGAAGGTAGTATCAGATTTATTTGTGTGAAAATGAGCTTTATTGTCATGGACTCAATATACCATTATTTACTTATTGGCAATTTCCTTTTGTTTTATCTAAGTGAGCTAGCCCAAGCCTTAGGGTTGTATATATGATTTTGTTTTGAAGACGATGGGGAGTGATGAAGTGAATCGTGGTCTTCTTCCTCTTTTCCTCCTGCTCTTTGGTTTTTTCCCCTTCACCGTCTTCTCCCATCTCCTGTTCTTCTTCTTCTTCTTTGTCCCCGTTCTACTCTCTGGTAAGGTTCTTCCCCTGCTTCTTCATCTTCTTCCTTGTTTCTCCATTCCTCTTCTTCCTCTGCTGATCGATATTTTCTCCTTTATAATTGTTCTTTCACTTGTAATTCCCTGCATTGTAATAGAAAATATCAGTTGAATGAAATATAGTTTACATTTAAGTACTGAGTATTGAATTTAGTTCCATTATTCTGGTTTATTTGGTGTTTGATTGAGTTTTGGTGCGAAATTGGAAATCAACCATAACATTTATATGTTGATCTGATTGTGTTGAATGATATAATTTCATATTGTTTGAAATTGTTATCTCATACTTCCTGTGGATCTATAAGGATGACGGGTTTGAAGAGGAAAGTCACAAATGAAAACAATCACAGTATGGAAAAAGGGAGAGAATTTAAGAACAGGAAGGGAAATAATTCAAGCTCAAGGACGAAAGGAAAGGAGCAAAATAGGCCTCGACGTGGGCCTCGCTTGCCAAATGCATTGCGGAAAGAGCTCAATCTCTTAAACCCTGCAATTGAAAGGGGATTTTCGGATGGTGACGAAGATATTAATTTTGGCGATATAGTTGGCAATGATGTGTATAAATACGAAGAAGGCATCCCGGAAGAGGAATCAAAGAAGAATAAGCGGTTCGACCCCGTTGACAACTATGAGTATGAGCTTCCTAAAGATTTTGAGGTCTTACTCGTCTTTTTTCACTTGACACAAGTGTGTGCGTGCGTTTTACTCTTTTATGTTCAAGTTCATATTGTCTTTTTTTCTAATAAGGTTTTTAATTTTCACATAGCCATTCAATGACATTTGAGGAAAATATATCATGAATAGAATAGATTTTCCTTATTTTCAGATTACTTATCTCTACCCAATCTGAATTATTAGTTGTTTTAAAATCATAGGATGAGAATGTAGCAT